GCAGCTCCCAAATTCCTAAGTTTACTCAAAGATTAATATACTTTTGTTTATTACTACAATACTCTCTTCTTATGGGTATATATCTATTTTTACACGGCCAAGAAAATACGTCAGTCCGTAAATATGTAGCTGTCAAGGGGTTCGTGTTTGGATTCCGTTATAAAAATGTCCGGGTACCACTTCACCTATTTGCGGAAAGTTACATAAATTCTGGCTAGGTTGGTGGATTTTCATAAGATAGATACCATTGTTGGGCAATTTCATATCGAATTTTGTATATAGCACCCTGTGAGAATCGAACTCACCAGCCAGTAGCAATAGTGAACGCGATTAGACTCGTTAACCATTACCCCAAGGCGAGTTACTTTGACCCTTATTGGGTTATTTAATTTTGAATTTTGCTTATGGCACCCAGTGAGAATCGAACTCATCAGCTAATAGTAATAATCAACGAAACTAGCCTCGTTAACCATTACCCCAAGGCGATGTCCCTGAACCCGTGTTGGATTATTAAAATTTGGAATTTTGCATATGGCACCCTATGAGAATCGAACTCACCAGCCAGTAGCAATAGTGAACGCTTTTAGACTCGTTAACCATTACCCGAAGGCGATGCACCTCAACCTCCGTTGGGTTATTTAATTTTGAATTTTGTATATGGCACCAAAGTGAGACTCGAATTCACCAGCCAGTAGTGATAGTCAACGAGGCTAGACTCGTTAACCATTACTCGAAGACGAGGCACCTCAACCGCTCTCATAAGCCAATATCGAGGCGCCAGAAACTTTTTGAGTATCTGCAGGACAATAATGTTTGGCTGATTTCCAAAGTCTTCATATTTGGATTTTGTATGGAAAAATATCCATGTGTCAATACTTATTTCCGTGAGAAGAGACATAAGCTCTGACTGATTTTCCTGATTTTATATGTTGGCACTTTTGGCTTATTGAAAGTCAAATTTGGTATTGGGCACCCAGTGAGGATCAAACTCATTTCCAGTGAACAATCAGACTAGTCTCCCTAATTATTACCCAACGCAGAGACGCCATAAACTCTTTGAATACCCGTAAGATGATAATACGTCAGTCTGTAAATAGATAGTTGATTGCCAATGGGTTGGTGTTCGGTAAACAGAAATATTTCATGTTCCATATCAGAGAACTACAAAAGGCATCCGGTGCACCGCGAACTAATTTTTCTGATGCAAATACTTGAATAACTTCTTATAAAAATAATCTTTAAAAAAGTATTCCTCGACATTTTTTTTCTCTCTCCCAATAAATGAATCAAAAGTTGAAGTCGAGACCTTTTCAATTATCGAATATTGAAGATTTATTATTCTTAATGACAGTAATGAATTGCAGTGTGGACAAAAAAACAAAAATGGAAAAAATGAAAAAGACTTTAGAATTTTTGGAGTATTTTTCCTTCAAAATATAATTTTGGCACGGGTTTTAATGAATTATAAACAATTTTTGCAAGAAAAGCTACGCGCGATTTATAAAACATCTTTTATTCCCTCTTTGTGTGAGTGTTTTTTTTTTAAATGAGAGAATTTTAAATTTAATTACTTAAATAACCAGCAAAACATTATATACATGAAACTTTATTTTATCGTTTTTATTTCGTGTTTATCTGGATTCTTTTAGAAGTAGGCAGGAAAATTTTAATGTGCAAAATAATGGTTCGCGTTTTAATTTACATAATGTTAACAAATAAGAAAACAGGTTGAATTATATATATATATATATATGTGTGTGTGTGTGTATCGGCACACATATATGCATATATCCACATATAGGCATAATTTAGGGGTAGTGTTGGGTGTGGCAAGAGGATAACTACAATATACGTGCGAGGAACTTTTCCTTTATTATTATTTTATTTTTTTAATGGCTATTGCTATAATCTCGTAGATGCGCACACAATTCTAGCAAAATAAATATTTTGGGAAGGGGAAGTTTATGGTAGAGAAGAAGAAGATGAAAGAGGAGGAGGAGGAGGAGGAGGTGAAGAAGAAGAAGAAGAAGAAGAAGAAGAAGAAGAAGAAGAAGAAGAAGAAGAAGAAGAAGAAGGTGAAAGTGAAAGTGAAAGTGAAAGTGAGAGAGTGGTTGTGTGAAGAATGAAAAGCCAGGGAAGGAAATCCCGTTTATTTAACCAAAAGTGACGACTTATCTATTTCCATAATATCTACGCTTGAAAAATGTTTGTTTAAGTTCGAATCGCATAGAATGGCAAACAAATAAACAATCAAATGGACAGTATTAGTTGCTTAAAAAAATCCGGGTATCTTTGCGTGCGTACAGAAATTCCACAATATTTGTGATGGCTTCTTTAGATGCTCTGAAATTGCGGAGATGATTTATTCTCATGATTTTACGAGTTCTTAAGACGAGAATCCCTATCCTTGTTATTTTTATCACTATATCTCATCGATATCTCTGTGTCGCTCCTTATAATAATTATGTAATACAGGCACTTTATATATAGTCAGGGTGTCTAAAAAATGTACTCACAATCTGACTTCCTGTAAATTGAATTATTTTCTTTTTTCAGATCCACTGCACCCCAATAATGGCAGGAGTTCGACTTTTGAAGAAAGAAAATGCGTCATGAAGTGTTATTCAGTTCAGTTATGTGCAAAGTGTGATACACGCTTAGGCGATCATGTATCTTTCGATGCATAACTGACGAGGCAGTTTTTTTCCCGCAGTAGGTGGCCATTTCTTTCAGCGGTAGACCAGATGCCATCCAAGGCTATAGAAAACGACCCGTCCTGCTATTTACCCATAAAGAAAGTCAGTTATGTGCCATGCATGATACACGCTTAGGCGATCATGTATTTTTCGATACATAACTGACGAGGCAGTTTTTTTTCCCCGCAGTAAGTTGCCATTTCTTTCAGCGGTAGACCAGTTGCCATCTAAAGCTACAGAATCAGGTCTGTCCTGCTATTTACCCATAGCCGGTGGGAAAAGAAGAGGATTCATGTCCCTCCCGAGGGTATTAGCACATAAGTGAATGAAATGGATTCGACTGGAATTCGAACTCGGCTCTCCGATTCCTCAATCCGAGCCGCTATCCATTACTCCACCGCCATTGGAAGCAGGAAAGCATTAAAAGACAATTTAAAAGACTGTTCAACCAACGAGACACCTCATTGCTCACATCAGAGATAAGTTTGATGGCGCTGGAACGACATTCAGAAAGATGACCATCATCTACCCGCCCCGCAAATGAAGAATTCCTGAAAACTCTCCTTCGTTTCCAGTGGTCAACATTATTGGCTGTGTTTGGAGAATGGTCGTCAGTTTGAATATTTTATACATACATTTAATTTAATTTATTATTTAATTTCAATCGTTAATCTTCTTTATAACTCAGTAAACGTCAATATTAGTTTTATTTGGAAGACAATAAATATTACATTTATTCTCATTTATATTGTTTTGTTTTTTTCGTAAAGTTTATAAATATTTATAATTTTAGAACTATACATGATGTGATTAATCAGTAAAAATATTCATAAACTTGAGGTGTCTAGTTTTTTTAAATAACATCTTTCTCATTATGCGTCCAAGAAATTCCATCTGTCTCTTTCGGATTCTAAGAATATGTGTCCTTTTTATTTCCATTTTCCTACAAATCTTGCTGCTTTTTTTTTTTACATATTAATTTATATGCATTTTAAAGTTTTTCCTCACAAATATTACAATAGGGCAGGTCGATTTTGTATTATGATGTTATATACATTTTTTTTTTTTTTATTAAAAAATTAATTACGATTTAATACATCTTATTCATTGAGTAACCTTTTTTGTAATATTTTTTTTTACCATTTTTTATTAATTGAATGCAGTAAAAAAAAAACAAAAAACTGCATATTCCGCTTGAAGTGCATTAAAATTAGAATTCTGGATTGGTTTTGTTTGATTTACGGCATATCAACACCTCAATGGGTTATTTAATGCCGACAAAATTTTTATATCTGCTAATATTTTATCTATCTATCTATCTATCTATCTATCTATCTATCTATCTATCTATCTCAGGATATATTGATTTGGTCTGGTGCCGTAAAAAAAAAAAAACCAAACCAATCTAAACCAAAGAATACATACTCTATTCATACGAATCTATCCTAAAAATGGTGCTCGGCATTAAATAACCCATTGAGGTTGATATGCCGTAGAAAAAGATAAACCAAATCAAACCAAACATTATTCGGACGATTTTAAAAAGTAAATGCTCAAAAATTGGAAACAAAAAACACAAAACTATGAATTTAATTTTTGGCATTACTATTAGGTTGGTGCAAAAATAATGACGTAAGAATGTGGTTTTTTAACGTAGAAAAATACGTCAAAAAACGACATTATTACGTCATTATTTTTGCACCAACCTAATACTTATCACATCTCATCCCACCTTTCACACTGAGTGAAATTTTCATTTTTTAAATATAGTGAAAATCAACCTAACCTAATACTACAATTGTCAAACCGTCTTTCCTCGTTATGCGTCCCAGAAATTTCCACTATTTCGGATTCAACATATCCTTTTAAGGGTCCTTTTTGTTAACATTATCTTCAACGCTTCGTCATTGTCTATTTTCTCTATCCATGGAATTCTCAGCGTTCTTGGGAATCTTGATATGTCTGTGTGTGCAATGTTAAATATTTACTATCCGTGACCCTTTGGGCCACTGACGCTTCAGTTTATAAAACATTGAAAAAAAATTGTGTGTTTGAAGAAAGTTGAAATCAAAATACTTACTGTATAAACAACTCGTATTTTGAAATCTTATTCACTTGAAATATTTTAAAATCAGACTAACTTAAAAAATATTTTTAATATGCCAAAAGATATTTTTAAATTATATTCACTTGAAAATATTTTTAAATATGCCAAAAAATATTTTTAAATATTTAAAATATTGTTTTATTTTTGTTTTTGTTTTTTAAGAAAGCTGAAATATAAATAAGTATGGACGCAATCACAGAGAGGTGGAAAGACAGAGAGGTGGAAAGAGAGAGAGAGAGAGAGAGATGGAAAGAGAGTGGTGGAAAAACAGAGAGGTAGAAAGAGAGAGATGGACAGAGAAAGGTGGAAAGAGAGAGATGGAAAGAGAAAGGTGGAAAGAGAGAGATGGAAAGAGAAAGGTGGAAAGAGAGAGATGGAAAGAGAAAGGTGGAAAGAGAGAGATGGAAAGAGAAAGGTGGAAAGAGAGAGATGGAAAGAGAAAGGTGGAAAGAGAGAGATGGAAAGAGAAAGGTGGAAAGAGAGAGATGGAAAGAGAAAGGTGGAAAGAGAGAGATGGAAAGAGAAAGGTGGAAAGAGAGAGATGGAAAGAGAAAGGTGGAAAGAGAGAGATGGAAAGAGAAAGGTGGAAAGAGAGAGATGGAAAGATATAGGTGGAAAGAGAGAGATGGAAAGAGAAAGGTGGAAAGAGAGAGATGGAAAGAGAAAGGTGGAAAGAGAGAGATGGAAAGAGAGTGGTGGTAAGAGTGAGAGGTGGAAAGAGAGGGGTGGAAAGAGGGAGAAGTGGAAAGCGGAAGCGGTTTTTTTTTCTTTTGGTCTCACTGTCAATTCATGTATACACACCATTTCCTTCTCTCCTCCCCACTTCCTACACGATAATAAATTTACATTTTTCTTTCCCCCACTCTCTATATATGACTTCGTGTGCCGGGTGGCAAACACAAAAGCAAGCAAACAAAGTTCGCAGAGTTTTACTATTAATAAAGATAGTTTTAGAGCTATACATAATACAAGTATTATGTCAAAATATTTATAATCTTGATGTGTCTACTTTTATTTTATTATATGAAAAAGAGATTATTCTTCGTCTATCCATTATCTTTCATGTTTTACCTGAATCTTCAAATTGGCAGTCTTTTTTTTTTCAGAACTATTAATGAATCATGATATTGGCGGGAATGATCTTCTTCGTCTTCTATACGACGTGTCTTTTAAGAATGTGTACGATCACTGCTGTCTACAGCTTTTTATACTTTAGGGTTTCTTTGGAGCGTTGCTAAGATATGACGATTTTTTTAAGCGTAGCAAGTATGGGAAACATTGTGGATCGAACTCACTATTCAGTCTTAACTGATCTAGCGAGACAAGCTTGCCAACCATTACATCACATCAAAGTGTTCGTCTTTACCAAGATATGGTTAGTAAAATATCTCCATTTAAACTGATATGATTAGTAAAATATCTCCATTTAAACTATGAATTTAGTAGATATGCAGGAAACTTGTAAAGTCCGTGAGCAATTTTAAATATTTATAGTTTTAGATCAGTATAATTACCGTAATTTTCCATGTATAATACGCCTTCATCCATAATACACACTCCTAAAATTGTGCTGAAAGTGTGGGAAAATGCTTCTGCCCATGAATAATACGCACCCTTTGTTTGGTAATCAAACTTTATAAATTATACCTCCCCAGTTTCATTACGGTCAGCGTTTCCTACTCTTATTTTTAAAAAAATTGGTTTTAAACATAGAATAATATTATTCTAATTTAGTTTTATGATAATTCTTATTTTGTTTTGCGGCAATCTTTTAAAGATTATTTTGTAGTTGTGTATAATACGCACCCCTTATTATTTATTTCTTTTTAGAAAAAATGCGTATTAAACATGGGGTATTACGGTAATGTTTTTGCATGATTTTTTATTTAACACTGATTCACTTGATTTTTTTCCGACCATGAAAATTAGGCTCGAACCTCATCATGCTCGATTTATTAGAATGATGACTTCTTTATAGTGATTTTCCAAGCATTGCTTATTTGTGGCACAAGGCCGAAAGTATGGGGCACCCAGTGAGGTCGAACGCACTACTCAGTCGTAACTGTTCTAGCGAGACAAGCTTGCTAACCCTTACACTACCTCGAGGTACCCCAGACGACTTCTTCATATTATCGGTCTGCGAGAGGTGACCCCAGTGTGCATCCCCTTTTGGAGAGTGCCTGAAAACCGTACCACGGGTTGACCCAAGTCATGTGAATAAAATTGGGTAGACGGTACTATTTGTGAGCCGTCGATGGTTGTGTAGCACGAAGTCACAAGTCATCGTGACCGATGGTTTGAGCGCACAGGCCTTGTTCAGACTGTTGATCATAACAGATAATGAACTCTCTCCAAGAAACTCTAAGGTCCGCTCAGCATAGTTGCAGTTTAAACTTTAGCTGGGTTCTGTGGGTGTTGAACAAACACAAATGTACCTGAGCTGGCGTCTACAACAGGGATTGATTGGCCGCATTAGTAGAGAGGCATAGGAGCAGCCAGCCACCACCGCTCGATTTCTATAAGAGTCAGATCAAACCAAAAATGGATTTTATTCAGAATATATCGCCAATCCTTTTTGTGTTCACACAGCTCAGGCAAAAATGGATTATTGATACAATTGCTACTATATTTGAGCTGGCGCTCTTAATCTTCATTTCCCAGTTCTGACAATGACCAAAAACATTTGCGCGGCCTTGTGGGTGATGAATTATTTTCAAACCTACGGCTCCTTTCCCACAGATAAAACGTCGCATGCCTATCGTTACTCTATCACTATTTCCATGACAAATGCTCAGAGGCGCTATATTCCTTATTTTTACCAGTTCAGAACTTTACAGCCAGAGCACACCATGACACATGCACAGAGTCGAATCAGCCTCATTTCCTTCGAATTGGTACAAATGAAGTGCACTTCTTTTAGAGAACCGCTGCTTTGTGGAACAAACACCGGAGAGGATGCTTCTTCGAGCACTTTAATGTTAACATTTTCAAGTCTATGATCAATTATTATCTATCCTACATATCCTCATAATTTGCATTTACTTCTTTCTCTTAACGCCATTCGTTTGGTTCTTGGGAATTTTATTGGGTGAACATGTCGTAAAAAAATCTGATTAGGCCAAAAAGGTATTGCTGCCATAATATGGACTGGAGAATCACTTTCCAACCTCGATAGAGTTCCAAATAATTTACACTTGGGGGTAGGGTGAGACTTAGACTCCACTTGCAAGCAGTTTTCCCACAGGAATTACGTTGCAAGCCTGTTGCTAAGCAATCGCTATTTCCATGGCTAATGTTCAGATGAGCCCGTTAATTTATAGTATGATACATCAAAATACTTCCACGGACTCAAATCAGCCTCATTTCCAAATTAAAATGAAAGCGCCACTTAGACAACCTTTTCTCAAGATTTTCCATTTTATGAACATACTCCCACGGGGATACTTCCCTGATCGCTACAGTCTTAACCCAAGTCTATTCAGGGGTTAATCGTTATCTATTCTCCTTATTGCCATAATCTTCACTTCCTACCATATCCTTCTTAATTTATATCACACGTCTCATTCTTCATTATCATTTTAACAGTAATCCTCTACCTTGGGTGGCTCTCTTGCCTTGTAAACGGGTGAATTTTAGTACAAAAGAACAAAAACAAAAAAACAACAATGGAATCGGTGAATCGTGTTCAAATTCAAATTCAAATTCTGTTGCGTTCATTTCCGCACTAACGCCCTTGGGAAAGGCATGAATCCATCTCTTCTCTTTTCAGATGGATAGACTGGACTATCTAACATATGGGTTGGTAGGCTATCGATCTTGGATGACAAACATGCTAAGAAATCTTTGAAATCCAAACCGTAGAGAGGGTAACGGGAAACTACTCCACCATCTTTTCCAAGGATACATGGCTACTCACAGGTATTAAAGAAAAAGAACTTGTGGAGAGTCATGGTCGCCCACATCTTTGAGGAGAAATGACATTAAAAAAACGACGAAAATAATAGTTCGATTAAATCTCATGAGTTGATATATACTGACAATTTTTCAATCTGTGAAAGGATTAAATATTTTCTTTCATGTACCGTGTACAATCAGGACGTGGGCGATCATGGCCCGCCACAATTTCCCTATCCTTTAAGTAATATTTATCCCCGTACTATCACCACCAGGAGGCACGGATTGGGGAATTGGAGAGCCGAGTTCGAATTCCAGTCGAATCCATTACATTCACTTACGTGCTAATATCTTTGCATGAATCCTCTTTTTCTCCCCCCAGCTGTGGGTAAATAACAGAACAGACAGGGTTCTAGTGGATGGCAACTGGTCTACCGCAGAAGGAAATGGCAACCTACTGCAGGAAAAAATCTGCCTCGCCAATCATGTATCGAAAGATATATGATCGCCTAAGTGTTTATCACGCATGGCCCATAATTGACTGATTATTCCCACCAGCATCCGTTCTACCATCGATTTACATAAGGAAGTTTTCGTCTATCCATCTTACCTTTTGTATGTCACTTGAGTATTAAATTTTCCTAACCGGCTTTCCTCATTAAAAAAAAGGAATCGACCGTAGTTTGGACTAGAGAGTTAATGCGGACGATCCGTTAAAGTATATTAACAATTCTTCTTCTTTTATGTGATGTGTTCCTTCAGAACGTAGACCATGGCTCTCCACTTCGTCCTATCTCCTGTAGCTCTAAATAAAATTTTGTCTACTTCTCCCAGACTCTGTTCTGTCATCCACTTTCTTAAGCCAGCTAAGTATGTCACGCGTTTCTTCCCTTTGTCTCTCTTTCCTTCTCTCCGCCCTGTGAGTATCAGATTCTCCAAGCCCTCCTTTCTCATTACATGTCCCAGATTTATTAGCTGCCTCTTCTTGATGTTAAGTACAAGCTTCCCTCTTGTTTGCATTCTCTCCAAAAAACCTCATCGTTTCTCACACGCTCGGTCTGTGGTATCCTTAACATCCTTCTGTAGAACCATATCTCTGTTGTCTCGAGTCTCTTCTTCGTCTTTGAGGAGATTGTCCAACAGTAATGGAGGACAGATGTCACGTAGCAGTTCAGTACTCTTTTCTTTGTTACCAACGGAAGCGTTATGGCTTTTTTCTTTCTTTCTTTCTTTCTTTCTTTCTTTCTTTCTTTCTTTCTTTCTTTCTTTCTATTGAAGCAGACGAGACGTACCTGATAGCGTTATCGCTTCTTTCTTTCTTTCTTTCTTTCTTTCTTTCTTTCTTTCTTTCTTTCTATTGAAGCAGACGAGACGTGCCTGATAGCGTTATCGCTTCTTTCTTTCTTTCTTTCTTTCTTTCTTTCTTTCTATTGAAGCAGACGAGACGTGACTGATAGCGTTATCGCTTCTTTCTTTCTTTCTTTCTTTCTTTCTTTCTTTCTTTCTTTCTTTCTTTCTTTCTTTCTTTCTATTGAAGCAGACGAGACGTACCTGATAGCGTTATCGCTTCTTTCTTTCTTTCTTTCTTTCTTTCTTTCTTTCTTTCTTTCTTTCTTTCTTTCTTTCTTTCTATTGGAGCAGACGAGACGTGCCTGATAGCGTTATCGCTTCTTTCTTTCTTTCTTTCTTTCTTTCTTTCTTTCTTTCTTTCTTTCTTTCTTTCTTTCTTTCTTTCTTTCTTTCTTTCTTTTCTATTGGAGCAGACGAGACGTGCCTGATAGCGTTATCCTTCTTTCTTTCTTTCTTTCTTTCTTTCTTTCTTTCTTTCTTTCTTTCTTTCTTTCTTTCTTTCTTTCTATTGGAGCAGACGAGACGTGCCTGATAGCGTAATGGCTTTTTTCTTTCTTTCTTTCTTTCTTTCTTTCTTTCTTTCTTTCTTTCTTTCTTTCTTTCTTTCTTTCTATTGAAGCAGACGAGACGTGACTGATAGCGTTATCGCTTCTTTCTTTCTTTCTTTCTTTCTTTCTTTCTTTCTTTCTTTCTTTCTATTGAAGCAGACGAGACGTACCTGATAGCGTTATCGCTTCTTTTCTTTCTTTCTTTCTTTCTTTCTTTCTTTCTTTCTTTCTTTCTTTCTTTCTTTCTTTCTATTGGAGCAGACGAGACGTGCCTGATAGCGTTATCGCTTCTTTCTTTCTTTCTTTCTTTCTTTCTTTCTTTCTTTTTTCTTTCTTTCTTTCTTTCTATTGGAGCAGACGAGACGTGCCTTTAGCGTTATCGCTTCTTTCTTTCTTTCTTTCTTTCTTTCTTTTTTCTTTCTCTTTCTTTTTTCTTTCTTTCTTTCTTTCTATTGGAGCAGACGAGACGTTGATAGCGTAATGGCTTTTTTTCTTTCTTTCTTTCTTTTTTCTTTCTTTCTTTCTTTCTTTCTTTCTTTCTTTCTATTAGAAACAGACGAGACCTTAGCGTTATCCTTTTTTCTTTTTCTTTCTTTCTTTCTTTTCTTTCTTTTTTCTTTCTATTGAAGCAGACAGAGACGTACCTGATAGCGTTATCGCTTCTTTTTTCTTTCTTTCTTTCTTTCTTTCTTTCTTTCTTTCTTTCTTTTGAAGCAGACGCGACGTACCTGATAGCGTTATAGCTTCTTTCTTTTTTCTTTCTTTCTTTTTTCTTTCTTTCAGTTTTCGTTTTGCTTTCTTTCTTTCTTTCTTTCTTTCTATTTGTGCCTTTCTTTCTATTTGAGTTTCGTTCTTTCTTTTTTTAATTTATCTTTCTTTTTCATGTAGTCCTTCGCCTATTGCTTTCTTTCTTTTTGCTTTTTATCTTTTGTAGCCTTTCCTTCTTTATTCCTCTGATTTATGAAATTTATTGACAAAAATCTTTCTTTTTCTGCTCGTATTATAGTGGCAATAAAACATTCAGCACTGAAAGAGAATTTAACTTGTGAGAAAGAAACACACACGCACACGCATACACGCACAGAGAGAGAGAGAGAGAGAGAGAGAGAGAGAGAGAGAGAGAGAGAGAGAGAGTCCCCAAAACATTAGTAATTAAAAAAAAAGTAAGATTCATCGTCTAATTTCATTTTTTTCTGTCCAAATATTTGAAAGATTCCTGGCCATAAAATTGGCAATTGCAATGGATGAAACGGATGAAGCTGGAAATGCAAGGGCGGAAAAAGTTTGTAATCCGATCCACATCCGGGGACCTGAAGCCAGATTCGGAAGCAAAAGACACGGCCATCAATCGACATTTTAATTTTAATGGTAACAGTAGCTCTTTAGTTTACCAGTGGTATTCCCGGCTGAAATTTATAAAAATCTTTCCCTTAAAACAATTTTTCAGGAAAATAGGTTTTTCAAGTCCAGTAGCTGTTATCGCTCTTACTAGCATTGATGGGGAGCGGGGTCCTTCCTAACTTTTTGTTCGAAGTAGTGTGGAGCGTCAACACGTTGATAATGTCATTATTTTCTCGTTGAATTGCAGGGACTATCTATTTTAGTTGTTGCTACACAACAAAAACCATATCACTTGAAGCCCCCAGGGTTCGAATAAGGATGGTCCTCTCTAAGACCTACAGGGACCAAAGGATCGTACAAAAGAGTAAAACCCATAGACAGTCATACAGAAAAGCCGAATCGACATCGCTAACCGATTTGTGACATCCAGGAACCAATGATATCGCCAGTTCTACTGCAGAAGTAGAGCGAGAGAGAGAGAGAGAGAGAGAGAGGGAGAGAGAGAGGGAAAGAGAAAGAGGGTGAGTAGAGAGAGAAAGAGAAGAGAGAGGTGAGAGAGGGAAAGAGAAGATAGAGAGGGGAAAGAGGAAAAGAGAGGGAGAGAGAGAGGGGGAGAGAAGAGAGAGAGAGAGAGAGAGGGAAAGAGAAAGAGGGTGAGTAGAGAGAGAGAGAAGAGAGAGCGAGATAGAGGGAAAGAGAAAGATAGAGAGGGGGAAAGAGAGAGAAAGCGAGAGGGAGAGAGAGAGAAAGAGGGGAGAGAGAGAGAGCGAGAGAGAGGGAAAGAGAAATATAGAGAGGGGGAAAGTGAGAGAAGAGAGAGGGAGGGAGAGAGAATGAGAAAGAGGGGAGAGAGAGAAGAGAGAGCGAGAGAGAGGGAAAGAGAGAGGGAAAGAGAAAGAGGGTGAGTAGAGAGAGAGAAGAGAGAGCGAGATGGAAAGAGAAAGATAGAGAGGGGGAAGTGAGAGAAAGAGAGTGGGAGAGAGAAAGAGAAAGAGGGGAGAGAGAGAAGAGAGATATATAGAGAGAGAGCGAGAGAGAGGGAAAGAGAAAGAGGGTGAGTAGAGAGAGAGAGAGAAGAGAGAACGAGATAGAGGGAAAGAGAAAGATAGAGAGGGGGAAAGAGAGAGAAAGAGAGAGGGAGAGAGAAAGAGGGGAGAGAGAGAAGAGAGAGAGAAAGAGGGGGGAAGAGAAAGAGAGAGAAAGAGTGAGAGAGATGGAGAGAGAGGGAGAGAGAGGGAGTGTGAACGCGAGACTTTTAGAGAGAGATACATTGGTATAGCAAAAGATAATTTCTAAAAAGCTTTACAAAAATATTAGATTTCGTTAGAATGCTCAACTGTTAGATGGCAGTGAATACTGGACAAGAAATCTGTACGGCTTCTACAGAAGGATATTGAGAATGCCTTGGATGGAACACATGAGCAATGAGGAAGTTTTAAGCAAAAGGCAAAGAAAAAATACAACTGTAGTTAGATTTTTTCCGGCTTATCAACCCTTTGCAGTTTATTTAAAGCCAGAAAATGTTTTTACATGGTAAGAATATTTTAGATAAAATAATGATTTACTGATCCAGGTCCTACTAATTAACCCATAGCTGGAGGGAGAAGAATAGGTACTTTCATACTTTTCCAAACAACATTTGCGCGTAAGCGTATACAACGAACCCGACTGGAATTGAAACTTGATTCTCCGATTTACAATTAGTTACCGAGCTGTAATCCATTACACCACCCGCACATCCATGCTTATAGCACATGGTTTGGTTTGGTTTGTTTTACGGCATATCAACGTCATTGGGTTATTTAATGCCGACAAAATTTTCATTGTTAGTAATATTTTTTTCCAAATATATATTTCTCGTAATATTTTTTCCTTCAAAAATATATTTCTGGTAATAATTTTCCTTCGCTGGTAATATTTGTTTTTCAAAAATGTATTGCTGGTAATAATTTTTTAAAAATGTATTCCTGGTAATATTTTTAAATGTACTGCTGGTATTTTTTTTTAAATGTATTGCTGGCATTTTTTTAAATGCATAAATGGTAATTTTTTTTTTAAAAAATGTATAGCTGGTAATATTTTTTAAAAAATGTGTAGCTGGTAATATATATTTTTTTAAAATGTATAGCTGATAATATTTGTTTTTCAAAAATGTATAGCTCGTAATAATTTTTAAAAATGTATTCCTCGTAATATTATTTTTTAAATGTATTGCTGTTAATTTTTTTTAAATGTATTGCTGGTATTTTTTTTAAATATATAGCTGGTATTTTTTAAAATGTATAGCTGGTAATATATATTTTATAAAAATATATAGCTGGTAATATTTTTTTTAAATGTATAGATGGTAATATTTTCTTTTTACATGTATAGTTGGTAATTTTTTAAAATCTATAGCTACTAATATTTTTTTAAATGTATAGCTGGTAATATTTTTTAAATGTACAGTTGGTAATATTTTATTTTTAAAATGTATAGCTGGTAATATTTTTTTTTTAAATATATATAGCTGGTAATATTTTTTTAAATGTATACCTGGTAATATTTTGTTTTAAATCTATTGCTGGTAATAATTTTTTTTACACTTTCATGGTGTTTTGACCCCAGTTTGGGGGCTAACAATTTACCCATAGCTGGGACCCTAACAGGTGCTACCGCCCCGGGCCAGGGTGGACCTGGGAACACCAGCAATTAAGAGGTGATTCCACGCTCCTCAAGACCCCCTGATCAGAGGCCTTGCTGTTGGACGTAGTTTATAATCTTACCCAGGAATCGGATGTAGTTTATCGACAGGACGGTATAGCACATGGTATTCCCAAGCGGTGATTTATTTAGTTAATAACCAGGCTCGACGTTGCTTAAGTTTCCTATTAAGCTTGTTTAATTCGATGGCAGTACAGGCACTCGGAGCGATGGGAAGAGGCTAAGTATCACTTAGAGCTACAAAGGAAGTCGTGGAGGGCCATGATATCTACCCCAAAGAAGCGACAGGGCAAATAAAGTAGAAGACTGTATGTTACTGCTACCTACCACGCAGCGCATACAGACATACAATTTACCCAGAGAAAATGAGGTGGGGTTAGTCCACGTCACACTCGTGTTTTTTTTTCCGTAAGTCACGTGTCTCGGAGCCAGGCCGAATGGAAACAAGACAAAAGCAAACACGCAGAAGGAATCGTGTCACAATTGATCCGACATTTGAGATGTTCCTTCCTACTTCCGTTGCTGACGTAATATATCCGCGTGATACCGAGTTAATTTCCGGTCTTCCGCTTCCGGGACGCCACCGGGTGCCGAACAGCCGACTTTCGGGTTTGCGTCTACTTCTTTTAGTGTGTGTCTATTGCTATTGAATTTTAGAGACAAAATTCGGTCGAAATGGTGGAATATCAGAGATAAATTAAAAATGGCAGTGTATTTTTATGTAAGTACCAGTCTATCTACTAATATTTGAGAAGTTTTCTATCGAACTAGTAGCCAAGATCGCAACCGCTTAATTTCGGTAAGAAGAACACACGTAAGAAGCAGGGGAACATTTTTTAGGCAAAAAAATAGACCTTCATGTACAACATTTGTCTGATTTGAAAAATATTTGATTTTTTATCATTTTAAAAGATGTCGTGCTACATTTTGACGCAGTGTAAAATCAACCCCTGACATTTTACAACGTTATTTTTTATCATTTTAAAAGGTGTGGTGCATGCTCAGAATATTATCAGAAAGAGCAATACAAATGCAGAAGGATGTGCATGTATGTTTTATAGACTACGCAAAGGCATTCAACAAAGTACACCACAAAGATCTGTTGGAACTGCTCAGAAACCTTGATATATTTGGGAAAGATATTAGAATAATCAAGAACCTATACTGGCATAAAATGGCCTCCATGTGGATAGAGAATGAGTTCAGCAGATAGACAAAAATAGAAAAGGGTGTAAGGCAAGGGTGTGTCTTCTCACCAGATTTATTCAACCTATACAGTGAGGCAATTCTGAGAGAACTGGAAATCTTTCCAGGATTCATCATTGGCAGCCACAATCTTAACAACAGAAGATGACAAAGTACTGATAGCAGAAATGGAAAAGAAATTACAAAATCTCCTACAGAAGGTAGCAAAGGAGAGTGAGAAGAAGGGACTAAGCATAAACTACAAGAAGACAGAATGCATGGTCTTCAGTAAAAGGATGAGCCTGAAAAGTGATCTACAGGTCGTGGACACTAAAATCAAGCAGGTACGGAAGTTTAAATATCTGGAAAGTGTTTTGACAGAAGACGGTAAGTGCGACGCTGAGATCCAAAGACGTATTGAGATGTGCCAAAGACACATTCCAAAAGCTAGGCAGATCATTACTAGACAGGAATATATATATATATATATATATATATATATATATATATATATATATATATATATATAACGCGAAACTGGAGTTACGTCTAGGGTCATCCTTTCATGGTCAAGAATGCATTCCAAAACCTTGGCAGAGTACTGCGAAACAGGAG